ATTTCAATCTAATTCACTACAGTCACCATTTTAAATTCTCAGTAAGTTTCAATTCACAATTGCACAGGTTTAAACAGGTTATTAATCAGGTTATTGCCTATAACAAAACTTCTCATACTCCATTTGCAAGCCTCAGTATTTATACCTATGTATATTTGCTTTTTAAATTTAAATTGACTCTATTCAGAAGAGAGGCTAAATAATTATAACTTAAGTCAGGTACACTTATGAAGTAATACCACAAATCCTCTTGATGCTCAGGTAATCCTATCCTCCCTCTTCCACCACAGAGTATTACAATTTATGTGGGTAAACTGAGGCTCAGAAAAATTAAGGCAACATATTTCCATTAATTGTGTATGCAAGGAGAATGGCTTACGGCCCAATTTTTCCAGAGTACTTTGCACTTCATATGTTCAAAATGTAAATGACTTGCCCAGCGTCTCACAGGAACTCTGTTGCAGAAGCATGGATAGAATCCAGTTCTCTAGGACAGTGTTCAACCACCTTAACCATGATGCCATCCTTTCTCTTCCTGACATCCACTACCATGCTCCATAGACCTTCCACTGCTTCATTTGCTGCAGAATTTGGTCCAAGAAACACCCTCCTTCACAACACAACCCAGATTCATTCCAGAATAGATGCATTTTATGCACTGAATGAGGCAAGAGTAATGCAGAACAAATAATGTGTGTTCATAAAATTAAAACTGCATCGTAGCATGTACACACAAGGGGGTTGGATTAAGTTATACAGGTAACCTTAACTCTGGGATTTCCTACTTTTGAGTTCTTGATTTTGCAACCTTAATGTTTTTTAACATCATGTGTGTGTGTAATATATGTAGCCATATACTGAACAAACTCTATGAGGAGATAAATAATGGGGTGGATAGAGGAGAAAGAGAAGATACAGTCTGTAGGTAAAGTTTTTAAAAACACCTAGAATCAAAGAATCCTAGGGCTGGAAGAGACCTCAGGAGGTCATTGAGTCCAGCCCTCTACCCAAAGCAGGACCAATCCCAACTAAATCAACCCAGCCAGGGCTTCGTCAAGCTGGGACTGAAAAACCTCTAGGGATGGAGATTCTACCCCCTCCCTAGGGAACCCATCCCAGGGCTTCGCCCCCCCCTCCTAGGGAAATATTTTTTCTTAATATCCAACCTGGACCTCCCCCACTGCAAGTTGAGACCATTGCTGCTTGTTTTGCCATCTGTCACTACTGAGAACAGCCTCTCTCTATCTTCTTTGGAACCTCCCTTTAGGAAGTTGAAGGCTGCTCTCAAACCTCCCCCCAGCCTTCTCTTCTGCAGACTAAATAAACCCAAATCCCTCAGCCTCTCCTCATAGGCCATGTGCTCCAGCCCCCTCATCATTTTGGTTGCCCTCTGCTGGACCCTCTCCAATGCGTCCACATCCTTTCCATAGTAGGGGACCCAGAACTAGATGCAATACTCCAGATGTGGCCTCATGAGTGCTGAATAAAGGGGAATAATCACTTCTCTAGATCTGTTGGAAATGCTCCTCCTAATGCACCCTAATACGCCATGAACCCTCTTGGCTACAAGGGCACACTGTTGACTCATATCCAACTTCTCATCCACTGGAATCCCCAGGTCCTTTTCTGCAGAACTGCTACTCAGCCAGTCCGTCTCCAGCCTGTAACAATGCTTGGGATTCTTCTGTGCTAACAGGACTTGGGCTCCTAATTCATTTGACTTTTCAACAATATGCAGAAACTGTGCATTTAAAGTAATCATATATGCACAGTTTTCAGAAAAGGAAAGGAACTCTTAAGTAGAAGCCAAAAAGAAATAAGACCCAAACAAGTCTTACTTTTTACAGAACTCTAACTTTTAGTACAAGCTGGCTTGCTATCTTGTCAAACTGCTTATCATTGAAATCCACACAACTTTTAAAAAGTTGTGTGCATAAATTAAGGATATAAAATCCCACTTAATTAACCTCCACCCCCGCTTCTTCTCTTCTCTCCCCCTTTAGGGCTGGTGCAGCTCTAAGCAGGCTGCACACAGGGGGGCTGCTCCCAGGTAACAGTTAACCATTCACATCCCTAATAATAATTTTTAATTTATTTTGATTTATAAGTAAATAAAATAACTAGCTATACACTATGCTGAGCCAACTTCAGTTATTTAACAGTTTGTTATGTAACAAGATACAGTCCAGCACATGTGTTTGTAGCTGTTATGCTGGAGACAGACTCAAAAGCAATTTCTGGACAACAGCTCCTTGATCCAGAGAATTTTAAGTGTATGGAAAAAGGTAATATGTTTGAGCTCAGAGAAAAGGCATAAACCAGAACACTAATTTTTTTTTATGACCAATTAATGTAGGAATATTGGTTATAAAAGCCTCTATGTCCAGCAAGAGGAGAGGAGCTACAATTGGAAACTGGATCTGGGCTAGACAAAAATAGCACAGTGATCCCAGAATAAAAATAAAGTTATGTAAATATAAGGAATTTCAAGCCACAAGCAAGCATGACAAATAAGGGTCCTGAAGGTATCTTCATTTTTTTATTTAAATATTTTAAGGTTTTAAATTGGTGTCAATATAGAAGTATTTTCAAAATAGGCCATTCTGAAGCAACATCTACCCAAAATCTACTCACTTAAATCAAAAATAGTTTCATCTACCACATGTACCCTGCCAAATAAAGATGTTTTAAAAGTTTCTCCCCTGTCGCTCTATGAAAGACCCACACAAAGTAAACTAACACAGTACAGGGCCAACAGTGAAACAGTAGTCCAGGGTATATAGGCAAATTGGAATAAAAAAAATGGTTTTCCTCTACTCTTATAGTAAGTTTAGGCAATACCTGGGACTGTTACAAGTAACATTTGATTTTTAACTTGACAGTGTCTCTTCAATCGCAGGGGAGTTTTAGAGTAGAATGAAATAAATGTTTAATATCCAGGTGAAAAAGAGAAGTGAAGCCCCAAACAGTCTAAGCAAACATAAACCATTAATTCAATATTAGTGAGACACATACCTTCTGCATATAGTCTTTCTGCCAGAAACACTGCATCTCGATAAGCATAATGATTAAGTGCTTGCCATATAGCAGCCTGTGGAAGAGAAAAATATATACACCATGATTCATTTTCTGATGCGTGTAAATGGATACATGTGATTCTAAATTCACAGAGAAAAACTTTTTAAAAAATCCATTAAAAATTTAATAATGAAAGAAATACTAAGGACTAGCTTCCATTGCCAAAGGGCCAGGAAAATTAAATGATCTAGTAAGTGTTCTTCAAAGGCCACCCAATAATAAAAGCCTTAAGAAAAATTTTAAAATAACTGCCTGAGAGAAATGCTTATAAAGGGTGGGTCGCTAAGTGCAGTCTCATTATACACTTGAACCTCTTTAATCTGGCAACTTTAAGAAATAGGGTATGCCAGATTATGGAATTTTCCAGACCATGGTTGTTTGCCATAATTAAGGGTGTGGGGGTGGGAGTACAGGTCTTGGAGGCTGTCTACACAGCAGTGTTATTAGCGTGTCTACACTACACACCTTTATTTCAAAATAATGTTGAGCTGGAGGACTTCCTACTCCGACTCAGGGTAACCCTCATTTCATGAGGAGTGAGGGAAGTCAAAGGAGGAGTGTTCTTCCTTGGATTTCCTGCTGTGCAGACAGCGCCAAAAGCCGAACTAGGTATTTTGTTTTCAGCTATCCAACTGAAGTAGCTGAAGTTGCGTAGCTTAATTCAACTTTAGCCTTGCTATGTAGATGTACCCCTGGAGGTTAAAGGTGCAGGATCTAGGAGGGAAGGAATGGGTGTGAGTGAGAGGGATGGGAGTGTGGGATCTGGAAGTGAGGATGGGGGTACTTACTTGGAACTCTGCTCCTGGGGGCACATGTATTTCTGTACTCCCCTCCACTATGGAAGCAGTGGGGGAAATGCCTTCATACCAGTACTTTGCTGTGCTGCTGTTGTCCCAACTGCAGGGGAAGGGGGAGAAGGAGCAGCAGTGCGCAGAGCCACTTCCTCCGCCCCCTTGCTAGGGTGTGAACCATGGATGTTCCCAGACATGCAGATTATGGAGGTTCAAGTGTATTTTAAAACTATGTGAAGAACCCTCATGTTCTAACCTGGCACAGCTACTTCTCTACTATTAGGCATACAATTGTCATGTCCTTTTGTCATCCCTTTCCTCCCATGTCAAGTGTCTGTTGCTGTAAAATACAACTGTCTATGAACCAGATCCAGCTCTCAGTAAAGTCAAGAGAAGTCTTTTCCATGCATCAGTGGAAGTGGGACAGTGATCTATGTATAATTCAGTATTGCTGTAAGACGTTACTACCAAATTTATATATTGAAAGCAAAGGAAAAGAACATACTTGGGAGCCAATAGTGATACTGAGCAATCTAAATTTGTTCTTGTTTATATTGCTTATATTAAATTAATAAATACTGAGCAAATAAAGTTAATCTGTACCTAGAACATAAGAACAGCCATATTGGATCAGACCAATGGTCCATCCAGCCCAGTATCCTGCCTGCCAACAGCAGCCAATACCAGATTCCCCAGAGGGAAGGGACACAACAGGTAATCCTCATGTGATCCCCCAGACCCCCATCACCTAGCTCCGGAGAAACAGAGGCTAGGGACACCATTCCTACCCATCCTGGCCAATAGCCATTGACGGACCTAAGCACCATGAATCTCTCTAGCTCCCCATTGAACCCTGTCAAAGTCCTAGCCCTCACTACATCCTCTGGCAAGGAGTTCCACAGATTAACTGTCCGCTGAGTGAAGAAAAACTTCCTTCTGTTTGTTTTAAACCTACTGCCTATTAATTTCATTTGGTGATCCCTAGTTCTTATATTGTGGGAATATGTAACTAACTTTGCCTTATTCACTTTTTCCACACTAGTCATGATTTTATAGACCTCTATCATATCCCCTCCTAGTCTCCTCTTTTCTAAGCTGAAAAGTCCAAGTCTTTTAAATCTTTCTTGATATGGGACCTGTTCCAAACCCCTACTCATTTTTGTTGTCCTTTTCTGAACCTTTTCCAACGCCAAAATATCTTTGAGATGAAGCGACCGCATCTGCATGCAGTATTCAAGATGTGGGTGTACCATGGTTTTATATAGAGGCATTAAGATATTTTCTGTTTTATTCTCTATCCCTTTTAAAATTATTCTTAACATTCTATTTGCTTTTTTGACTGCCGCTGCACACTGAGGGGATGTTTTCAGAGAACTGTCCACAATGACTCAAAGCTTTCTCAAGTAGTTGTAGCTAAACTAGTTTCCATTATATTGTACATATAGTTCATTTTATTTTTTCCAATGTGCATTACTTTACGTTTATCAACATTAAATTTCATTTGCCATTTTGTTGCCCAATCACTTAGTTTGGTGAGATCTTTCTGAAGCTCTACACTAGTGGTCCCCAACGCGGTGCCCGTGGGCACCATGGCGCCCTCCGGAGCATTTATGTGCGTCCACCGAGTGATCAGGGTTGGCCCAAGCCATTCTTGTGCCCGGCGCATGCGCGGCCCCTGCCCTGGGTGCCCAGAGCATGCACGGCCCCGCCCCCGGGCGCCCAGCAGCCCCAAAAGTTTGGGGACCACTGGAATCCTGACTACACACTTCTTTCAAAAGAAGCTTCTTTCGAAAGAGGCAATCTGGGTGCTCTCTTTCAGAAAAGCCCTGTTTGTGGTCAAGAATGCCTTTTTTCGAAAAAAGGCATCCTTCCTCGTAAAATGAGGTTTACCACTGTCAAAAAAACCACCACGTTCTTTTGATTTAATTTTGAAAGAATTAGCGGCAGTCTAGACACAGGTGAAATTTTTTTTTAAAAAGCCACCTTTTTTTTCGAAAAACCCCTGTTGTTTAGACATAGCCTTAGTCCTGCAAGTGCGTAAGCATGTGAATACCCTTGGGGATTTAAGTGAGTCTGATGATATCGGGGGGGGTGGGGGGGGGGATCTCACTAGTTACCTTTCTCCATTTGGAAAACTTACCCACCCTTTGTTTCCTGTCTTTTAACCAGTTATCAATCCATGAAAGGACCTTCGCTCTTATCCCACGATAACTTACTTTGCTTAAGAGCCTTTGGTAGGGGACTTTGTCAAAGGCTTTCTGGAAATCTATCCACTGGATCCCCCTTGTCCACATGTTTGCTGATCCCCTCAAAGAACTCTAGCAGATTAGTGAGGCATGATTTCCCTTTACAAGAAACCATGTTGACTTTCCCCCAACAGATTATTTTCATCTGTGTGTCTGACAATTTTATCTTTTACTATGGTTTCAACTAATTTTCCCGGTACTGACGTAAGACTTACCGGTCTGTAATTGCCAGGATCACCTCTAGAGCCCTTTTAAAATATTGGCGTCACATTAGCTATCTTCCAGTCATTACGTACGGAAGATGATTTAAAGGATAGGTTACAAACCACAGTTAATAGTTCAGCAATTTCCCATCTGAGTTATTTCAGAACTCTTGGGTGAATGCCATCTGGTCTCAGTGACTTGTTACTGTTAAGTTTATCAATTTGTTCCACAACCTCCTCTAATGACACCTCAATTTGGGACGATTCCTCAGCTATGTCACCTAAAAAGAATGGCTCAGGTTTGGGAATCTCCCCAATGTCCTCAGCTGTGAGTACATGTTAATCAAGCTATAAACAAACTTGGGGAATTCTGTGGGTTTTTACTAACAGCTGATTAATTCACTACACTGAGACACATTAGAGATCATGCCAATGGCATTATCAACTGCTGTATGATTGCTGTCAACTGCACAGGATTGCAGAATGGCCTTTTCTGTGAAGTTACAGCTGCACACATTCCACAGTGAGCTAAGGTTAATATGATCCATTGTTAGCTGGCATGTGAAAAAACAAAACAAAACACCAATGTCTTACTTCCATTAATTGGAGCTCTGAGATTCTATACAGGAACACAAAAACTGCAGTAGGATGCCTACAGAATTGCTCTCTCACAAAGATTGCACATATATGTTCCAACTCAGACAGATACTCACACAGTTATCATCCCTAGATCTTATTAACATTAGTTCTTTAGGATTTTTTTAAACCGGTTAAACAATTAACCTGGATTTTATATCCCTAATATTAATAGCATTATTCAGATTGCTGTCACTACTTAGATCAAAGGTGGACAATAATTTTTGAGGGGGGCCACTCCAAGATTGTGGAAAGTGGTAAAGGACTGCACTCTTCCATGATATTAATAGAGGAGGCATGGGGTCTGGGATGCAGATTAGGCATAGGAGGGAACTTCGTGTAATGGATTTGGATGCAGGAGGTGGTGTGGGGTCTGGGAGGGAGTTTGGGTAAAGGAGGCAATTGTGACCTATGGCAGGGTATTGGGTACAGGAGGAGGAGCAGAGATTGGGGTTCTTACCTTGGGCAGGGGATTCGTATGCAGGGTCTGGGATACTCCTGAGTTTAGGAGTGGGACAGAGGATTTGGCTTAAGTGGGGTAGGTGACTGGAGTGGTGACAGAGGGAGGCTCTGGTCGGGATGGGTGATTACTGGACAGCAGCCCAGCAGGTTTCTCAAGTAGCCAGTTAGCCAGCCTGCCTGCCTGCCCCAACCCTGCATAGGCTGCAGAGGCCATGTGTGTTGGCAAATAGGAGTCTGAGGGGATGGGGGAGTGCGGCTTCCCACACTGCCTGTTCTTCAAACAGGCAGCTCCCATTGGCCAGAAGTCAGCCAATGGGATTGTGATGGGGGCAGGAGCAGTGCATGAAGCACCACTCCCCCGGCTCACAGCTCAGAAAGAAAAGTGGCTGCTCCAGCCGTTTCTCTAAGTGGTATGGGGAGAGGCATGGAGCAAGCAGGAAGTCTGCCTGAGGCTCCCTGTTGCGTCTGCGGACCGGATCCGGTGGCTTGGTAGGCCAGATCCAGTCCCTGGCTTGTATTTCACCCAGGCCTGACTTAGATGATGTATTTACTGTGCCAGAGACTGCAAGTTCCTCTAGTTGTCCTCTCAAAAGGTAGGCCAAGACCACATTACAGCACTTTGTTGGCATAGCTACATCAATCAGGGTGACATTGGTGACACTGGATAGGTAGGGCCAAGGCTAATGTGACAAATCATTTTCAGTCTCAGGAGTGTCACTGCTGGTTCTTGCTCACAAGCTCAGGATCATCATGTGTGGGATCAGGATGTAATTTTCTCTCTAAGCTCACACTAGTCAAACCTGGGTTTTTTTGGCCTTCCTCTGCAGAGTACTGGTGCAGGTCACTAGTCAGGATTATCTAGACTGTTCTTACATAATCATTTCCCTGCCATTGCAGGGGCCTCACACACTTATGCACCTTCTTTGCCTGTGGCACATAAATTGAGTCTCCTTTGGGCTGTCATTCTTTGATCTAATTTCAGTTGTTGGGTTTAGTGTATGAGTAATGGGAGACGTTGGTGACCTGTGTTGTATGGATGGTCAGACTAGATCAGGGGTAAGGCAATAATTTTTGACGGGGTGGGCCACTCCAAGTTTTTGGTAAGTGGTCAAGAGTCACACGTTTCTATGGAAGGAGTTATAACCTAGGGAGGGTGCACTGGGTTTGGGTGGTAACCTGGGCCAGGGGTGCAGCAAGGTGTGGAGTGTCAGATGCAGGCTCTGGCTGAAAGGTGCTTACTTAGGTGGCTCCCAGACAGCAGCCCTCGATTAGTTGATGGGGGGAGGGACGATCGCTATCACGGCTGCAGCTCTGCAGTACTACATTTAAAGTGCAGAGCCGCAACGGGGTTGGCTCCCAGGGGCAGTGCAAGGTGGGACTGCTGCAGCGATGCCTCCCTTCCTCAGCCCCTGCAGCACAGACACGGAGCTGGGTGGAATTGGCATTTAAGCAAGTTCCCCCCAGCGCCAGCTACTG